CAAACTTAAAAGTATTTTGAGGCCTGCACTTACTTATTATCGCAATTACTGGGTCAACGTTTGGTTTAAGGGCCGCTGTCGTTTGAACGAGCAGTCGACAAAAAGCCGACACGTTCAGTGTTGCCAGATTGGGCTATATATAGCCAAATGGGGCTACATTTTTTTCTAGTTGGCGTCAAAATTTCGCCTTTGGCTATGTGGCTATTTTTGGGCTATTTCTAAGGGCGCAGCGAACTCTTGTCGAACCTCAGGTTCGACGTCGAACTTTGAGGTTCGACTAGTTAATTTTCGACCTTCTAGTCAGTTTTGAAAAAAAAATTTTCTTTTTTGGCTATTCGAGAGGAGAGAAAGGAAGGAGAATGGCTTCAAACTTGTACAAACTTCGGAGTTTTCACAATGCGCAGAGAAGCAGTGCTAGCAGAGGTCAAGCGGTCTTCCCACAGCGCAGTGAAGCAAATCAAACAAACAAATTGCACTGTTTTTACAGGTCCGGTAGCGCGTCTTCTACCCGGACGTAGACTGTACTCTCCAAACGCAGCTTTGGTGCCCTTTGCGAAAATTCTTAGGCATCGCCAACTTTAAGAAAAGAAACACAATCAAAAATAGCTTGAACCGGAACGGGGGACGCTCATATTCTACACAAAGAAAAATAGACGGGTGGGTTATTGGTAAGAACCTTAGATATAGGGGGTGCTAGTTTGAAGCTCCCAGTTCTGAGTGTTCTGCTTCTACATTCTGTTCTTTTACTGTATGATTATATCTCCCGGCCCCCGGGCTTCACAATACAGCTGTCCATGTATGTTTTCTATTTCTGAAAACCTACGAAGGATGGGTAATTGTTTCACAAATTTTCATCCTTCTTAAAGGGGCCCTGCAATGACTTTTTTACTAATTTTTAATTTGCACCGAACCTGAGCGCACTGAACGTAGTAACTTAGTGAAACTTTTCTTTTCTCGAAATTCCCTTTATTTTAAAAGTTATAGGCAAATTAAATTACAAAAACAAGCAAAAAATAACCTCCCTCATGACGTCCTTGGTTGTTTGAGAGTGGCCGTGAACTAGAGGAGAAGTAGTGAGCTCATCGAGCGCTCACGGCTGCCGCACTCCGAGTCGACGGCGCGAGAGGGCGCCATTGAAGCGTGTTCTGGATATATGCTGTATGCAGCGGGCAGCCAGAGCGGCTCTCATTGCATTTGCCGCGCGATTAAATACTGATTCGGCATGATACTTCATTGGCCACAAACGAAAGCAAACACGGGGTAAAGATCAGTTCAAAACGGGAGCCACTTAGCGCTGCCATACCGCCAAAGGGCTAAATCGCCAGCCAAGCCCGCGCCGAGAGCCTTGGGAACGCTTGGAACCGGTCGGATCCTCGAGCCGGTATACGACCGCAGCGCCGCCGCGTACATCCGGGACCTTTCCGTGTCGGCGCCTGATATGCGCCGCTTTTTCCACCGCTTGGTGGCGGGTATATCGGCGAGTCATTTCTTGTTTCCGTACTTTGAACTGCATTCGTTTCTTTTTTGATCTAAGATACTCAACAAAAACTACTTTTCTAAATAATTGAAACGGTTCGCGCCACTTATATTTTGTATTCCGACTAAAAAGAAGCTTTGAGCGGCTCTGACCAGTAGTAAGCCCAGGACCAAAGACGTCACATTTTGCGCGCTTTCGGCGAGGCGGGTCGCCCTCGTCGGTGGAGGAGGTTTCCGCGTCGTCCGGTTAAAATATGACGCACTGATATTTACTTACTCTCTTCGTGCCCGCTGGCTTGCCCGAACCCCAGGAGACGTGGAAACCTCAAAAAAGGTGGACGCTTAAATATGATTGCAGGGCCCCTTTAAGCTTTTTTTTTTATATATATATATATCAGGGGACCTAATGTACACAAAACGTGGCGCATCTGAGGGTTGAAAAAGAGAATTTAACGTGTTGTTTTTTGCGCGTATGAAAAATTGTCAATCAAAGGCTTAAAAATCGTGGTTTTTAGTTTTGGCTATTTTGGGCTATATTTATTTTATGGCTTTGGCTATATTTGGGCTATACCTCCCAGCCGTTTGGCGGTTTTTCGTTGGGACCATCTGGCAACACTGGACACGTTTGAAAGAGTAGACGACAGTTCGAAAGCATGCGCAATGGAGTGTCGGCAAGAAGCACCGCGTCCCGCGTCAACAGCCCATTGGAATGTCACGTTGTCGGCGTCTCTGTGTCTCTGCATACTCTTTTTTGAGTTGGAATTGCCGATTCTACGTCCTCATAGTAATCAATGTGTTACCACTTCAGTCGCCTGAGTGAAATTATTAAGGCTCGTTACGCTGCTAACTGTGCGTAAATAGTTTGACGTGCGGCGATTCATCCGCGTGAATGCCGCAGAATGAACGCTAAAACAAAGATGAGATTCTTCTAGCTACTTTCAGTCGTGACGTCGCTCGTGCTGCAAAAGTGCAGACGGTAGTGGCGATAATCGACGTCGATACTGAAAATCGGAAGCGGGAACAGACCAAGTGAATCAGGCGTAACCTGTCAGTGATGGCCACTGGTGCCAATGATCAACATTTTGTATCTATTGTTTGTACGCAGCCTACTTAAAAGTCTTTTGAGACCTGCAATGGCTTTTTATTGCAATCACCGGGCGCCGTTGGTGGCGACCTCTCTTTCGTCGGTGCTGGGCGGCCTTGCTCCCACCTCCGACCGGCCGGCGACTCGACGTGCCTTGTCAGCGCCTTCCGGGGACCCTGAAGCGTCTCGAGGTCGCAGCTGGTCCAGGTGCCGTCTCTGTTGGCCGTCCGGTGTGCGTAGCGTGACCATGCGCCGACCCTCACTGGAGACCACAGTCCCCGGTAGCCATCTCCGCCTCGGCTGGAACTGGCGTGACCAGACCGGCATTCCTGGCGAAAATGGCGGTGGTGTCGTGGCCGGGGCTTGCGGCTCGACCCCGCTGTGCTGCGCTTCCTCGCCCCTCGAGAAGAAGCCGGTTAGCCTTGTCCTGGGCCTGAAGCCTAACAACAACTCGGCTGGCGACTTGCCCTCTTTCATAGGGGTAGATCTGTAACGACACAAGAACCTGGAAATACGATCTTGCAACGAGCCTTCCCTGTTCTTCTTTAGCCCCTCCTTGATCGTGCGTACTGCCCGTTCGGCTAACCCGTTCGACTGAGGGTGGTAGGGCGCAGTGGTGAAATGACGTATATGGTTCCCTTGTAAAAATCGTGCCATCGCTGCACTTGAAAATTGCGGCCCATTATCGGAAACCACTGTTCGTGGCACTCCGAAACGCGCAAACAGTTCTCGGAGCACTCCAATTGTAGTCTCGGCCGAAGCTGTTTTGAGTGGTATGGCTTCAATCCACTTTGTTTCCGAGTCCACCAGTACTAGAACCATGTACCCTTCCAGTGGCCCCGCGAAATCCAAGTGCAAACGGGACCACCGTTGGTGGGTCTCCGGCCACTTGGAAGGAACCTGTGCCGCGGGCATCGTCCAACACTGTATACATGTCGAGCAGTTATTTACCAGCTTTTCGATATCTTTGTCTAGACCAGGATACCAATAGAGGGAGCGAGCCAGACGCTTCATCGCAGTCATTCCCGGGTGGGTATCATGCAGTTCCGTCAGCATGAACGCTCGCGCAGCTTCCGGTAGAACTACGCGATGCCCCCAGTAAACCAGGTCGTGGCTCACTGTGAGTTCATACCTGCGGCTGAAGTACGGTAGGAACTGGTGCTGCTCCGGGCGCAGGTGCGACGGCCATCCGGCGTAAATCCAGGCTTTTACTTGGCGAAGCAGGCTGTCCCGCGTAGTCAGGGTGGCCATCTGCTGGGCGGACATAGGTTGGTCGTCCCACCCCCGCGTGTACAGCACATATTCAGTGAGCACTTCACTGCTGCCCTCCTCCTGCGCCGGCAACGGGAGACGACTAAGAGCGTCTGCATTCCCATTGTGGTTTCCTTTCGGTACTCGAGATCGTACTGGTAGGCTGCGAGTAGTAACGCCCAACGCTGTACTCTAGCCGCCGCCATTTGTGGAATTGCTCTTTCAGGGTGGAACAGCGCTGTCAGCGGCTTGTGGTCTGTGACGAGCGTAAAGCGGTTGCCGAACAGATAATCTCGAAACTTGGTAACTCCAAAAACCAGCGCCAACGCCTCCTTCTCGAGCTGTGAATAATTACGCTCTGCCTTCGTAAGCGTTCTCGACCGGAACGCTATGGGGTAGTCTTTCCCATGCATGCGATGTGACAACACTGCACCCAAGCCGTCTGGCGACGCGTCGCATTCTAGCCGTAACTGTTGCCGGGGGTTGTAGTGAACCAGGAACTTAGCTTCGGCCATAGCCTGCTTAGTCTTCCGGAAAGCCCTTTCCTGATCCCCGTCCCACTGCCATTGCGCTCCTTTTGCCAATAATCTATACAAAGGGGCCAAGGTGGTTGACAAGTTGGGCAAAAATTTGGCGTAATAGGTGACAAACCCAAGAAAAGACTTGAGCTGGCTTACCGAGGTCGGTCTTGGAGCTTCGGTCACTGCCTCGAGGTTGGTCCGCTCCGGATGAAGACCTTGGGCATCGATTCTGTGGCCCAAAAAGGACACTTGCTTCTCCCGGATACGGCACTTGGCTCGGTTTAACTTCAGGCCGTTTTCCCGTAGCCGCTGCAGCACCTGCCGGAGTGTCGACGTGTCGTGTTTCTTTTCTGCGATGACGATGTCATCCAAGTAGACTTGCACCCTAGGGAGCCCTTGCAGGAGGGACTCGATGCGCCGTTGAAACAGAGCCGGTGCGGACGCAATGCCGAAGGCCAGACGATTGTAACAGTACAAGCCTTGGTGCGTGTTCAGCACAGTCATCTTTCGAGCCTCTTCGTCCAGAGGAAGCTGATTGTACGCGTTGCGTAAGTCCAGCGTGGTGAAGAGTTCCCCCCCATATAACGCCGCAAAAATGTCGTCAATTTTAGGCAAGGGGTATCGCTCCAGGTGTGTAGCTGGATTTACCGTCAACTTAAGATCCCCGCACAGTCGTATCTCGCCGTTTTTCTTTGCCACCGGAACAACAGGTGTAGCCCATTCCGACACGCTGACCGGCGAGAGCACGCCGTCCTTCTCCAGGCGGTTGATTTCCGCCGACACCTTGTCGCGAAGCGCGTAGGGCACCGGCCTCGCCTTACAAAAACGGGGTCGCGCATCTTCCTTCCTGTACAGCTTTACTCGTGGGCCCTGGCAGCACCCCAGCTTCTCTTCGAAAACGTCTGCAAATTCTTCCAGTAGGTCCTGCCCCTCTGCGCCGGCCTGCACCATGTTCACCCCAAGCGGTGCCCCAGTTTCTAGAAGCGGTGCCCCTGCGTCGTGAAACGCCCGCAGCGTATTCCTACCGCAAAGCAGCGGCCCTGGGCAGTTCACCACAATCAACGAGCTGCGCACCTGCGTCTGTCCGTACTGTACACTCATGGTGATCTTGCCGACAACGGGCAGCGGCCCCAGGAAGCACGACAAGCGTAGGGGGGTCGTTTCCAGGGCCGGCCACCGTTTACGGTGTCTTTTGAAAGCGCTCTCGGGAATTACGCTGACTGGGGAGCCCGTATCCAGAATCATTCGCAGCTTCCTGCCTTCCCATAGCAAATCCCGCTCTATCGGCGGCGTCGTGTCTTTGTTGGCTGTACTGTGAGCCACCAGGGCGTGAAGCATTTCCTCGCCACTCTCTTCCTCGGTGTTGATGTCCGCCAGCGCGTACGCACCTGGCTGGCTGGGCCGACTGTACTTGCACACCCTCGCCAGATGTCCCTTGGTGCCGCACCTGTGGCATATGGTCTTGCGGTGCCGGCAGTCGTCCTCGGAGTGGTTCGCGTCGCACCTCCAGCACCAGGCGCGTCGATTCGAACCGCTGGTTTCTTGTCTTGGGGGCCTCCGGTTACCCCGCCGACCTTGGACGAAATGCATACCGCCGGCTGAGTCCTGGGGGGCCGTTCCCATTGCCCTGACGTTGTTATCGGCCATCTCAGACGCGATTACGAATTCCTCCGCCTCTTCCCGGCTCAACTTTTTACGCGTCAGCAAAACCCGTCGCGCTTCGTCATCCCGTATGCCGCAGACGATTCGGTCTCGCAGCATCCGGTCCAGGGTGTCGCCGAACTTGCAATGCTTCGCGAGCCGCCGCAACTCTGCCACAAAGTCTTGTACTTTCTCCCCCTCTTCCTGTTTCCGCACGAAGAACGAGTAGCTATCTGCAATCTCGTTGGCTTGCGGGTCGTAGTGTTCTTCTAGGTAGCCAACCACGTCTGCGTAGGACAGGCTGTTGATGGACGCCGATTGACAGCGGCCTTGCAGAATTCTGACCACGTTGTCACTTAGGGAAGACACCAGCAACGCGCGACGTTTCGCCGCGTCCGTGATACCGTGACCCTCGAAGTACGCCTCCAACCGGACCCGGTATGTGCCCCAGGTGCCTGCCGTCTCGTCGAACTGCGGCGGGCGTGCCGCCATATCGGTTTACCCTCGTCGCCACTGAAACGTCGACCAGACTCGCCGGTGGCCGGGACATGAAAAACGTGGTTTATTGGCAAGCGCTCTCTTTTTACCTCCCGCGCCGGTGACGTATGTCCGGCACGGGCATGCGCTGGAACGCGCCGCTCCTGGTTGCGGTGACGCAGCCGTACGGCGATACAGCAAGTTTAATCTACGGGACGCTTTTGTTTAAACGAGCAGGCGACAAAAAGAAGACAAGTTTGAAAGAGCAGACGACAGTTTTAACGATCAGACGGCCGTTTGTACTTGAAGGCACAGTGAACACGTGGGTGGTCCGGACATTTTGGCGGTTTTCCCTCGTTCACGTTGAAACAAAACAAATACATCTGGCGACCACGTGTATCTGTGAATTCAACCCAAAGTCTTGCCCGCACAAGCAATTGATAGTTCGACAGCGTCTGGTTTGCCCTTTTCACGGCCTCTATTTACGTTCTCGGACGAACCTAGCAGGCAGAAGACACACGAAAACTGACCTTCAAATCTTTCCCGACCATTTTGGTACAACCCCCGTCACGGCGTTTTGACAAGAAGGCAGATTTCTTGTCTGGTTTCTTCCAAAAGAACAGAGGAATGCATGTCTCATACGGTGACTTCCGCCCCCCACCCCAGACCGGAACTGCGCCCGACGCGCCACCACTGCGGCGTGATTCAACAGAGTTGAGTTCGTGTATATGTAAAACTACGTTCAATTTTTTAAACTTTAACGGAAACGAGTTTTTTTCTCACAAATGGAACTTGTAACTGGAACTGGTTCCAAAAAACAGAAAGAACGAGGAACGAAGTTTCGTTCCTTTTTTTGAGGAACGTGTACAACAATACCCGGGGGCGAGTGCAGGAGATCGATAGCTAATCCGTCAATCGACCGCCGTACGCTACCTGTTCACTAATTAATTTTTTCTTTCAATTCTTTAACTAATAAACTAGAGTCTCTGAATGTTCCCAGAGTACCGAAACTCCCAAGCTTCGTTTCGGAACCGAATCGCGGCGCAGCCGTCGTATCCCCGACATGGCGCTGCCCTGTGCGGTCGAAGCGAAGCGCGTGCAGTGTAGCCAGAGCCGTATATGTAGAGAGTTTGGCCATTCGTTGTGAAGTATAGGAGACAAATGAGGAGGCGCCATTGGCCGAAAGCGGACTGGGCGTGTTCCAGGGCGTCTTCAGTGATTCGAATGTCGCCAACCAGAAGCCAGAAATAATACCCTGGCGGTTGTCGCGAGAAACAAGCTTGATAAGTGCGTCGGAGTAACTCTCGGAGACTGAGAATATGGTGCACGTGTTGTTTCAATCACGTTTATCCAAAATCATGATGGAAGAGTGCTACTAGCAGAACGATTTGGGGTGTATCTCAAAACGTCCCATTCGCATTTGAACCTTGCACATTTCGTCCCATTCTCATTTGGTCCGCCTTGTTTGAACCTTCTCATAAGATCCAAATTGTATTTTTCGCAACTGGACCCATTCTCATTTCACCCGTTCGCGCTACGACCGAATGGCACTAGTTCGGCATGCTTCTAACATCGTTATGCCTTCGCGACGTTGTTGATGAGCCTTACCTTGCTTGGGCCCCCAACATATATCATCAGATATATGTTATGTATAGAGGTACGCACTGGGAATCATACAATGACGCCTGCTTCCCTTCCTCTAAGCAAACGAGAAAGAAAAGCGATGGACATTTAATTTGGCAAATTCGTTTGAACAAAAATAGCATACATAATAGCAGTGGTTCTCAACCATTGATGTTTCGCGGACCCTTGTAGAAAGGCGGAGATGATGGAGGACCCCGTTCGGGGTGAGGGGATTAGAAAGGTACAGGCTATCATGATAATGATTTAATAAATGAATATAACTAATGGCTAGTGTGAAGTAGACTTATCTTATTGACATACACACGAGAATACTCACCCAAAAATTGGAACGTTTCATCTCAACGTGAAGAAAGACAACTAATATTGCCGTACTTGGCTGATGAGACAGGGCTTCGCGGACCCCTAGGATGCTTTCGCAGACTCCCATTTGAAAACCACTGCATTATAGAAATGGTGGCATTTTCCCAAGCCGAGAGACCCCAAAAAACGTGACATTTCGAAATATGATCTGGCAGCGATAAATAGTTGGTCTGTTTTATTGTCAGCTAGTAGCTTTTCACGACGATCTCGGCGCACTGCTAAAATCCTCAGCAGAGAGAGTATGCCTGTAACGTGGCACACACACACACACACGCATGCACAAAATATATCAATGTATTTATTAATATTACCCCCCAAAAAAAACGATTATGGTATGCAAAGAGTCAAGTACGACGGGTCAAAGCGAGATATTTTTGAGAACCGCTGTTTTGAAAAGGGCAAGGTGAGAAGGGCGAAACGAGAGTGGGCCCAAGTGAGGACGGTCGGAATGCGAAAGACGAAACGGGAAAGGGCCAAATGCGACGGGTCAAAGCGAGAAGATCTTTTTGAGAATGATTGTTTTCAGAAGAGCCAAGTGAGCAGGGCGAAACGAGAACGGACTCAAATGAGGAGGGCTGAAATGCGAAGGATGAAACGGGAAAGGACCAAATACGCAAGGTCCAAGAGAGAAGATCTTTTTGAGAGTGGTTGTTTTCAGAAGGGCCAAGTGAGAAGGGTGAAACGAGAACGGGCTCAAATGATAACCACCCGAACGATTGCCATAATCCGTACGCCAAGTGCCGGGGGCCAGGAGTCTGCCGTCCGAACGGTCACACTCTTTCCGATCAAAACAGTGTTAGAGCGGCGCATTCGTTCCTTGCATCTTTATGTGTGATCATGATCAAAACATCACGTACACCCTATTTTCAACGATGAAGGGTTACTACATTTAACTCTTACGCGCTCAATAAAACTACCAAAACTGTTCCTCGCTACCACCGCTAGGGGATTCTTTTCGGCTTCTGGTTGGCCACCAGAGCATCCCAAGCCTTCTTTCTGCGTCTGGTGCACGCCCTGACTCAGCCCGCGCCTCCCATTGACCAAACTCTCAGAGTCTGTATACACGGCTCTGAATGTAGCGTTCGTTCTCATGTGAGTTCTTCAGGCCACGTTCCTGGCCTGTATCGACACTGTTTTGTTTTGATTAACGTTCTTTCCTTTGTTTCGAGCGGTGCGTGACTTGCTCCTCGCTGTCGTGTCTCTCTCTCTCTCTTTGCGCCCTGTTTTCTTTGTGTCTTTATTGCCCTTCATTTCATTTCATTTATTTCATTTCATTTATTTTTCCCTCAGGGCCCGAGGGCATTACAGAGGGGAGTGGGTTACATAATATAAAGTAAATCTAAGATATGCACATGAAACAGAACAAGAAAAATAACAATAGGTTAGTCAAATTCTGGAATATAAATATTGGCAATACAGTTTTTAAACGCCACACCATCGGAAATCGATACCGCAGAGGCTGGAAGGTGGTTCCAGTCAAGAGTGGTGCGAGGTATGAACGAACTATGAACGAAGTTGTTTTGTTTGCGATTTTTAAATTTTAAAGTCAGAATGAACCAACTCGTCGAAACACTAGTTTTAATCTCTCTCTCTCCCTCTCTCTCCCCGCGAAACACATCGAAGTCGAGTGTTAGATCAGCGTCTGAACCGTAGAGTTTAAAACGCAATACCAGCGCAACCGGAGCGAGCAAGCGAGCCGGCAATCTTCTTCGGCGAACCAGACGAACGGCTTCATAATATAAAAAAAAAATCTAGAAAAAATCAACGCCCTAATTCATCGAGACCCAGAGCGTACCCACCGTAGCCGTTGCAACGCGGAAACGTTTTATATAATTTTTTTTTTTTGCCCCATCCACAAAATGGCCAACTGATACTTCCTCCACGGGCTAAACCAGCCAGTCAGAACTGGATTCTGCGGGAGGTACTTCCGGTAAGCGGATTGAATGGAATTCGCTGCTCTGGGAACATTCATTTACTCGATACGAAACTATAGGGCTGTACTACGAACGCCTTTCCGCCGCGCCGCTTTCGCCATTTGTTTACACGAAGACGCTTAGTTACTGGCGTTGTTTTTTTTTAATCTGGGGAAAGGCTGAAGTATGGTGAGTGCCTCCGCCGACGACGAAATTATGTAAGTTCGATCGGCAGCGACGGATTTGGGCAAAATAAATCGGTCTTCTTTTGATCTGTTTTCTTTCGGGTTCACCCCGCAAGCAGCATCTACCGGGGGCCTTCTTCGCCGCCGACGGGTCGAATTCCCGAACGCCGGCTCGTCTCATCTCCGAATAAAGAAAGGTATGTAGAAACATCGAGTACCAGATGACACTCCTTTGTGTCGCCCACTGCCTCGGGCAAACAAAATCGATCATGACCTAAAAAACCAACAAAAAGAAGAA